GCTGGGGAGATTCAGAGAATGCCAACTAAGATTATTTCTATTTGTGTAATGTAATATTGAATACATTTACATTACAGATGATTGCTATTGTTACAGAATGCAAGTAATCATGTTAAGTTCAATAACATCCAATATCACAGTCCTGTATAAGGGAGGATTTTAATCTCATCAGGAGGGTGAATTCATTGATTTTCCAGGTTTCCTTGCCACTATTAAGAAAACAAAGTTTTATAAGACTCTCAGCATATCCTTTTTCTTACATTGATTTTTTCTTTTCTATAAGCTAGGAAGATGTGAAACATTTTTAAACCCTTTTCTTTTCATATTCCCATTGGTGAATAAAAAATCAGCTTTTTGGCTGAAATTTACTGGCATGAAGCAAAGGAACATAGCTCATCTCATTTCATAAGATGTGTACTTCAGTTCAAAGCATCTCTTTCCTGAGTGAATTCAACAAGTTTAAAAAGTAATGAAGCATTTGTGTTCAAAGTGTCTTCTCTGAGGAATACCATGTCTCTAAGAGTACTTGAAAGCATTTGAAAGAAGTATAATTTCAATGAGCCAGATTTTAGCAAGGTTATCTGGCAGAAAGAGATCAATGTTTGCACATGAAGTGGCCAGAAAATGTCATCAGGAGATAAAATCAGAAAATTATCCACAGGTTCATACATACTCTGTTACAGTATAAAATACCTATGAATAATATGCAGTGCCCCTTTAAGAAGGAGTGTTTAGGCAAGTGAAATGAATTAGAAGATATATTAAAAATGTGATATTCTTCATAGACAAGTTAAAATTTTGTGGCATCTCCGGTCACTGATTAAATTTTCTTCTGAAAGTTGTTGTGTAAGCAGTAAATGGGGCCATTTTCAACCCTGGGAGAATCAATGCCAATCTCACATTAAAAAAAGAAGAGCAGGCAAAGAAACAGTAGCAGAGATCAGATGAGGAAGGCTTACTAGAACTAAAGAAAGAAAGGCTCATTTATAATGCATGAAGCCCCTTGGCCCTCATTAAAGGATAAGTATGCTGTCTTGGATACTGTCTTACCCCAGCATCCAAAGTCCTTGGTTTTGGAAAATGTCCAGATGAAGGCCATAAGGATAGGTAAGAATAAAACAGAATGTGATAATGGCTTTGAGGTTGTAATTTTCTCAGCCTATGGGACGTGCAAAGAGAATACAATTGGGATATACAAGTACCCATGAGAGAAGTAAGAACTAAAATCTCCTGAAGTTACATCATGTGCTGCCACCACAAAGCCCATGGTGGGTGTGTGTGTGCAGTCAGCAATGAAGGTGACTGAGGACAGAGGAATCTTCTCTGACAGGAAAACAAGAGCAGGAAAAGAGATGGTCTTCAGGCAGAGTGTCTGCTCAGGGGTGTGCAGCAGGAATGTGTGTTGAAAAGCAATTATTGGCTGCTATGTGTCCCTGTAGAAGAGTTTTGAGGTGAAAAACTCTGGGGAACATCTGTCTAGCCAGTTGGCTTTGCTGCCTGACAGGTCATTGCAAGGTAGAGGGTAGGGAAAGGGCAAAGAGAAATTGTGGAAGCTTGCTGTTTTGAATACAATCTGCAGAATCTTAAACCAAAGAAGTCAAAGGACGTTAAAACTGAATCTGTCCAAGACCCAGGGAAGAATGTCATGATTCAGGGCCTGACCCAAAGCCAACTGAAGCCTGTGGGTTATGGAGTGAGTGTGCTATTGTAAGCAACAAACAGGATGTTACCATATCCCTTAGGGTTGCAGAAACTTTAAATATCGGACTGGAAGAAATATCTTAGCTCATCACTTCCCATCCCCTTTCTATATAGTCAGCCATGAAATATAACCCCATTTACAAGTGCATCAAATGAGTTTTGATGCTGGTTTGGTAACTTCATTGCTATGTACAATATGAAATCAGCTGAGCTATAATATGAAATCAGCTGAGCTATGCTGAGAGGGGGTGGTGGGGTATTAAGCTGAATTAGATGAAAAACTACTAGATATAACTGTCAGTTACAGAAAAAGTCTGCAGTTAAGGTAGAAGGTGTTCAACAGGTTATTCAGAATAATTTTTCAGCTGTGCATGGACATAGCATTGAATGCATAGGATTGTGTGGGAATTTCCATGCATCAATGTATACATGAAAAAAGGGCATCATGAAGGATAGGAGTTTAATTCTTATACTGACAAGCTGAAACTAATGTGACTAGGAATATCACCATCTAGGAATGCAGAGGATGTTGTAAAAGAAGTTGTTAAGCTTCTAATAAAAAGAATATTAAAATCAATTGCTAAACTGCAGGCCTAGAGAGCAATGAATTTGAAATTGAAATTTGTGGGGTAGTTTGAGCTATTATAGACTGATGAGTTTTCAGTGGGAGGCGTGCTATTTTAAGTAGCTCTTATAAAACAATCTAGAGGAAAATTAGATGATTACAGAAATGGTACTGGTTTATGCCATAGAAAAACCTTGCTTCCAACTATAAAGATTTGTTAAAGTGTTAACAAATTAGTGGGTAAAGAAGCACTGGCAGATATAAATATTCAGATTTTTTAAAATCCCTCAATGATATTATTAAAGAAAACCAGGCACCTAGAGTGTAAAAGATAATATTCTTCTGTGAAATACAAAGGATAAAGAGCCAGCTTTCATCTAGAAATGAGGTTAATAGTGAAGTGTTTGCAATGCATCTGCTGTAACTGAGGCTGTTTATTAATAATCTGACAGCAGGGCATAGTAGCAAAATCTGCAGATGATGATAGGTGATTTAGATCAGTCAGGGATTGAGATATGCAGATATGACAAAATGAAGCCATCAGGCAGTGTATTATGAGTTTGATGCTTGTTCTGGGGCTGTTGTTTCTTTTTTGTTGGTTTTTTTTTTAATCAAAAGCAAAGTCATAAACATTAAAAGAAACTGTTAAGTTCCTTGCAGCACCAGACTGTATTCTAAATGAAATGAACACAGTTCCAGTGCAAGATTTGCAAGTTATTGCAGATGGTCCAGAAGAACCCTCTGCTTAATACCAATGAAAAAAAAGGGTTTGTTTAAGAAAGTGACAACAAGAACAGAGCAGAATTCTATATGGCTGTTATATCTCAGTCCTTATCACCCCCTGACTTCTAATACTGTTTGCATTTGTAGTCTGCCAGTCCTGATCAAACTGTAGCCAGTGAAGGAAATCAGTTCCACGTAAAGAGCAACAGATATGACCTCCAACAAGGAAATATTTCCAGAGACTGAGAAAGATCAATGAAGACATTAATAAGAGGGAACAGAAGCTGAGAGGCTCATGAGAAAGAAAGGAATGCTCATCATTTTTAAAACAGCTTTAATACAAGAAAGAGCAGAAGCTGGTGAAGTCTAACAGTTTTGAAATAGAAAAATAGCTATTCATGCACAGTATGTAATGAACTTGCAGAACTTGCTGCAGGAAATGTTAAAGCAAATAGTTCATGAAGACTGTCAAACTGAAAAATAAGCGTGTCATCAAAATTCAGTATAATACTCAATGGATAAAAATTTGGAAAGAACTGCATTTTTACAACAATGCTGACTCTGAGATATGAGCTTCCCTTGTATAGGGTTAGAAAAATTATTTCCACTGTAAATCTTTTTTATATCCTTGTACAATAATAGTTGTGGCTGTAGTGGGGGACACATTTTGTCATAGACCTTTATTGAGCTTTTATTTTCCTCCAGTGAAAGACTCAGAGGCCTATGGTACCCTCCAGCCTTGGAGATCTACATTTTTATTTAATTATTTCAGAAAAAATTCTAAGCAGCAATTGACGCTCTTCAACATTCAAAAGCTTTGCCCTAAATATGCCATATGAATGGCAGTCAAGCTGTCATCTGCTTTCTTGGCAGAGGTAATTTTGGAAAGACTGGATGGTGCCTAATATGGAAACATTAATTTTACAGTTATTAGCATCAGTAACTTAGAATTAAGTGAGAAAAGAAATATAAAGAAGCTCCAAAATTAAATACAGGAGTGTAAGTGTTCTGAAGACACAAAATTGATATAAAGGTCAAGAGGATGAAAATGAGACATTTGGAAATTAAGAAATGCCTTGTATTAGTGTATTATCACAATTCCATTGACAATCCAGTAAGCTGTGCTTTCTGCCTTCCTTCTTCTGACTCCAAATTATTGAAAAACAGACACCTATTTCTCAGTGATTTCTCTTCCCAGCTGGTCCAGACAACCCTGCCTCCCACCAAATGTAGCAGGAGGCATCTTGTGCTGCATCTGCTGCGTTGGAAGGTCATGTAATGCTTCTGCAGAAGAAGAATCAGATGTTCTTTGTTACACCCTGTCACCATCCACTCTGCTTTATGGATGTAGTGGCTCCATGTGGAGATAGGCACTGTAATTTCTATTTTGCAGGCAGACACCTGACAGCAAGGTTACTTATCCAAGGTGGTACAGCCTGTGGAAGCCAAGGATGCAAACCACATACCTTAGGTCAGGCTCAGCTGTTGCATGCCTGGAGAGTCACCCGGGTTTGAGTGGGAGAGAGGGGTAAGGAATGAATCCTGGGCTCATGTTGCTGAGACAGAGTTGTGTTGTTCTCCCCATCCTTCAACATTTGGAGCAGAGGAAGAAGAAGCTCTTGTGTGCCAGTAACAGCATGGCTAGAGCTTGCTGAGCTCACTGTATGAAGATTATATTGCTTTATGTTTTTTGTCATGGTGTTTAATTAATGCAATGCCATATCAGTATAATTTCAAGATATTTATAAACTGGAGTGGGCGTTTATAAACTGAATCAGGGGGATTTACAAACTGAAGTGCCTATTAAGTACTCTGCTCTGAACCTATAGTAATGAAGCCAGGGAGAGAAGCATTTCCTACACTAAGGTAAAGACCTCTGACTAAATAAGGAACTGGTAAATAAGGAACTGTTCCTAGTGCCGAGGTGCAGGCAATTACACATGGCCAATATCCCTCCCTTCCTAGGGTAGGTCAGGGCACATCTCACCTCTCTTCTTTCTCTTCTCCGCAGCACACCTTCCCCACGCTGAGGAACCTGCCTATGCTTGGAAAGCAAGGGGACAGCAACACCCTCTGACTGCAATTCAAGAGAACCCCAAATAGGCACAAGACACTTGTTTTCAATTAGTTAGGGTTATCCTCCTGCTTTCTGAAGTCTAAATGGATAGCAGACTACAGAAATACTAAGTGAAATGGGGTTTTGAGAGGTTGTGCTGGGTGCACACTTGTCCTTTTTCTCTCCCTGTCTCTGAGTTTTCCACTGGAGACCTCACTGAATCTTTCATTTTGCACAAAGATTGCTCTGAAGCTGCTTAACCTGCACAATCCTCCCGGAGGTGTACCAGGGCCTGGAGAGGCTGCATCAGAGGCCGTGTCGACACCGGTGCAGGGGAGAGGAGAGGATGTGAGATGATTCCCTTCACAAACCCTAACTCCCCTGGGCTGCCTTGCACACTTCAGAGAGAATTGAGGTCTGCTTTCGGGGAGGAATGTAAAAATACAGCTCTGAGTGCCCTCCTACTGCAGTTTTGATTTATCTGCTGAGAAGCCATCAGACTCCACTCAGCTGAAGCCAGCTTTATGCTCATTTATAAGCAGGCTTCTAAAAACAAAACGTTTTTCTTTAAATGACTACTACTGACCTTTAAAAGTCCATAAGGCCCTTGAAGCTGCCAAATGGCACAGAACAATATAATCATCTAGTAATACCCACCTGCAGACTCATTATTTTTTTCAGATCTGCTCATTCCTCATCACAACTATTGAGATGCAAGAGAGCCAGCCAGGTTCAGGTGTCACCGACAGAGCCATTACTAGGGAATGTGGTGTGAGGAGGAGCAGGATTCATGTCCCAGACAAGGGTTTTGAGGTTTTAATGGCCATTATAGGAGATAGGCTCATATTTCAAACTGCAATAAATTAGGATAGTTCTGCATATTTCCAAATAGTTAGGATAATTTATATCACCTACCTGTGATTAGCTGAAGTTGAAAGGCAGGGCTATGATTCAGTAATAACAACATGAATTTTGCCATTGAGGTCAATGGGATCCCACCATCAAGACTTCAAAGCAGCAAACCAGCACAGAATTGATTTCAATGTGCTGTTCTCTCCTTCCTAAGGGCAAGTTGTTCCTTTGATGTTATATTTGAGGTGTTTGTAGAAACCTGTAGGTAGCAGAAAAATTTAAATTTGAAGTTTGCTTCAATTTGACCTCACCATGGGGACAGAAAAGTCACAGTGGGAAATATCAGTAGCATTCTGTGACACAAATGATAAATCACTTTTCTGAGTTAACGTCACCAAGCACACGGGTCTTACTCTTTTGGCAGCACTTCCAAGGAAAAGACTCTCGACCAGACTACCTTCACAGAGAATCAGAGTTCTTTCCTAAAATACGAGAGAGTGTAATTTCCTTTTGTGTTAGAAACTAGCTAGCACCGAGGTTCTGGAGACAGTGAAACTGAATTTAGCCGATCAATACACAAAGCTTATGCAAGCATGTTTTCTTCTGAGTGAGGGAAATTCTTCGATCCATCGTTATTCAACTTCATTCTTCAGTGAATTAACATCTCAAACAACTATTCAGGTCACAGAGGTTCAAGTCGCTAAGGCAAAAGCAGCTTTGCCTCCCGAGGACTATCAGGCAGCAGGGAAGGTAAATAAAGGGGTTTGTTTAATGTTTAAAAGAGAGTACTAATGGACAATTAGCCAGAGGATTTGAGAGTAGTTTTTAAATCTACAAAAAAAGCAAAGCTTCAAACACTCAGCAAACTCTAGGCTGTGTTTTGGGCTAACGCCACAGTACACATCTCAGACCCGCAGCGTTGATGGTGACGGGAACCCATGGTTGTCACAGCTTCTGCCGGGAAGCGGTGACAAAAGTTCGCAGATGTCTCGAACAGAGTAGTAGATAATCTAAAGTGAAGTAAATTTGCAGGGCAAGGACACATCTAGGCTAAAGTATTTGCCTCAAGCTTCAGACTTCAACTGAACCGCATCTTTAGACAGCCATGGCTGCAATGTCACTGTTTATAATATAAATGACGTGGGAAGAAACACCGAGTCATCTGGTTCAATGAAATCAATATAGTCATGCAATACTTCGAGGGCTGTTAAGGTTTTCAGAGAGAGTAGATCATATTTTCAAGAACAGGGCTCGCAGTTATTTAGAGAAGGCTGAGAAACAGTCCACACATATTGGTCACAGCATCCCTGCTGTGAACGAAAAAATCGAAAAGATAGAATGTAATTTTAGAGAACAGCTTATTTTTGAGGTGTTTCAGTGAAATTCTGCCTCTGAAAACAAGGTGAGGCAGTACAATAGGAACTGTCTTTTCACTGTGTCCAAATTTAGATGGTATCCTCACTACCGAAATGAAAAGCAGAAGAAAAAAATTGAAAAAGATGACACACATGCTTGAAAAAAAAATCGACTATATTATAAGGTATTATTTTTTAAGTTTTAAGTTGCTTTTACAGACCAGGCTATTGGATTTTGTAGTTCTGTTGCAGAAGCACACTCTGCTTCTGAAGTAAAATGAAGCAATGAACAAAATTATAGATTTTGTGTCATAAGTATCAGATCATTTCTCAGTTTGCTGATCTGTAAGCAGGTTAATTGTTCTCTGATGAAATTGAGTGACAAGATTAAAAAAAAAAAAAAAAAAGAAAAAACCAAAACCAAACGAGGATATTTTTTTTCATCTGGGAGACAGAAACAATCCAAGCAGTCAAGATTACTGTTGTGAACCTGCCATTGAAAAATACGATAAAAAAATACATTCGATAAAGTACTAAATTAGCTGATCTGAGACAAAACTCCCAAATTAGGTCTGCCAGGTATTTGAGACATTCATTGGACCATCGGTCTGTTAAAAGAAATCTGAAAAGAAGTCTTAAAGATCTTCTGCTGATACCATCATGTCAATGAATTATTCGGCTGCAGGGCATCCAGTGTTGCTGGTCTGTAAAAGTATCGGCTAATTAGCAATTTTACTTCCTCCCAGGTTGCCATTTCCTAAATCACACTCCTCAGCTTTTGGGACACACTACCCTGCTACAGTGTAGAGTACGGTAACAAGTTAACATTTTCCAGTAACAAGTTAACATTTTCAGGAAATTGAGTCAATTCGTGCTTTCTGTACACAAATAGACCCAAGGGAATTATTAGCCCTCCTTAGACCAAGACAAGGATGTCAATTAAATATAGTCTTCTCAGCCAGCTACAGAAATGCAACCAACTGACATTTCCTGAGAAGTTCAAATTTAACAAAACCAGTAAATAAGTCAGTTTCCAGGCAAGGCTCACACGCTGCATGGACAAGGCTTGGAGTTGTGTGTACATTTTATTTCTGTACCTAAAATGGGCTGCATGTTCCCATTATGGCCATGTTGAACCTGAAAAAATGACCAGTTGAGCCAAGATGAAGACTTTACTAATGTTTGTTAAAAATCTAAGTGTCAAACAGGAAAAGTTATAGTATGCATTGAGGGCTTTATTTGAGCACATCGTATTGCATTATTTTCTTCCAGATTTATAAATAAAAGATCATTATTGTTCCTGCACCTTCTACAGTATAGATACTACAACAGAAACATGATGTGTTTAGTCCTTCCCAGACACAGCACGTGTGATCTGTGAATGCTCAAGTGTTTCCTATCTATGAACATCTTTCAGATCTAAGGATAAAAAAGAGAAAATCAGAAACTAAATGCTTTTACGGTTGAGAGGAATTAAATTCTCATTGAAAAGATTATTAAGAGATAATTCAGTAACATAAAACATACATGAAATTGCTTCATCTAAACCCCTCTCTAGATATCTGTATTTTTATTGGATATGTCTGATGGTGGAATCAATTTTTCATTTGTCAAAATTATGTGAAATCACATTCTTTCTTGAATCTGTAGCCATGTTTTCAAAGGAATAAAGTTTTTAAAAAGTGCCACGTGTATCAATAGCAGTACCAGTTGTGAATTGTGCTAGAAGTTGTAACTGACCTTGTAACACAGCTATATCTGCAATGGCATCTGTGCTTTTGGGGGCTGCATCACAAGTGACAGTAACATAACAACCATGGCCAATCCTGCAGCTGCTCCTGGCAGCCCACAAGTCGGCCAAAGAGCAGGATGCAACTCTGAGATGTTCATAGGTGTAACAGATTGATTGATTGCTACAACCATGTAGCTTGGGACAGCAGTAGTGATTACAGCCTCAATGATCCCATCCTCGACCTGCCTTTCTTGTCCCACACCAGGCCTATGTCCCTCCCAGTAATGAATGCTCTTGTCCCTGGGACTTGATTGGCTCAGCGGATACATCCTTAGAAGGGTCCAGGGTGGTTTTGAGCTCTGCCAATCAATACTTGTCCCCAGGCACTATTCAGGCACTAGCATGGGGCTGGGGATTGTGTTTGCTGGCTGAGGGCAGAGGTCGGCAGGAGAAGTCTTTAGTCCAGTTCGGTTGAAAAACTGAGAGTAGTCTGTTAGCAGCATGAAGGCAGCAGGACGAGGGTGCAGATAAGGTAATGCTGTGCCCCATGAAAGCACAGCAAATGCCAGGAATCTGTGCCACCAGTAACCTCTGATTTTCTCCACTTCATCTTCCTTTGGTGGGAGGAATAATGGGCTCATGCTGCTGTCATGAACTTCTTAGCTGCTACTGCACTTCCAGGATGCAATGCATCCTCTCTTGTCTAACACTTAATTTTTTATAATCAACTCTAACTGCCACTTAATCAGAACAAAAGTCTGATTGTAACATAGACAGGAGCAGAACAGATGTTTGGAAACAGTCTTTTTTCCTTAATAGCCGTGGCTATGCCTCAGACAATCTCAACACACCCTTTTCCATACTCTGTTTTTTTTATATGATGGTAGCCAGGTGTAAATGGATACTTCACATCTGTAGCACTTCTAACCCATTCTCATGGTCCATAGGAGCCTTTTCTAAGCTAAAAACTCATTCTTGTTCCAAGGGTGACTTGAAGCTCCTGAGGGAGACCAGAACACCCCTCTGCTCACTGCTGTGCCCTGGAGAAAGAGTCAGCATCTTGTGGAAAGAGTAGCCAGCCTAACTTAAAGCCAGTAGGTGAGTAACAACGGAGAAGCAAACCTGAGTAATTTTTAGTGAATTACGTAAAC